AGACATCCATTAAATGCATGAGAACGCAATAACCATTACCTCCTCTCCTCTCTCCAACCCTCCCTTATCCATTCTCTCCCTCAATTTCAATTCATTTAATTACATACTTAAAGAGCTTCGAAAATATTAATTAAATAATTTTTTTTCCGCATCAACCTCATTTACTTTAAGAAGAATATATATATATAAATATGTATGAATATGATATATATATATATATATATACATATATATATATACATATAAGATATAAATGAATAAATAATAAAAAATATTAAGATACGATTAAGATATAAAAAAGAAATAATAAAATTAATAACATCTAACGTTTAAGAAGTAGTTTATAATAAATAAAAAAAGATGATAATGATAATGATGATAATCGCAGATAGTATTGGGAGAATGAGGATGATGAATTTGAATTTCCTTTAAGAATCGCGCGTTAAACGTAGCGAGAGCCGCCTAGCGGCCGTCTCTGTTACGAACGATATACGCCAACCACACGCATGTGTGTATGTATATATATATCAACACAGGCAATGTTACGCATACACCAAAGACGATCTGTTTCGTACGCGCGATCTATCTACGGTTTCCTCCTCGAAAGTTTTCACGTGAATATTTATGCGAATTAATTTCCTAAAAGTTCTTTACTACCCCATTACTATTTAATTTTTACAAATATTAAATATTATTATAGGTTATGACAAAATTATTATAGATAATGATAAAAGTATTATAGGTTATAACCTTCTAAATGGATACGCAGTTATACAAATATATATTAATTTTTCTTTATACGTTATATTATTTTATGTTATTTTATCTTACCTCGAATAAATTCGATGACAATGAGCATAGAAATATAGCTGCCAATGATTTACTCCGTACGTTTGTAAGAACCTCGAAAATTGGATCGATTTACTGACGATAGACGAATACATTCATTTGCACGTTCTTCTGAATCTTTTTATTATTCTGAAACAAAAGACGTACGATGTTTTATAAAACGATAAACACTTCTTAATACACATTCGTAAAAAGGTTCGAAGCTTCGAAATTGATATACGAACATTAATATTACGTTATTATTTCAATGAGTTAATAATGTTTTTCATTTTCTAAAACAATACGCTAATATGAAAATTAATGAACGAGATTTGTAAAATTTAATGTTTATGTACGTATGTACGTATGTACGTACGTACTCACGATCGATCTTCGAAGGACTAATTGTCCCTTCTGACCGCTATGTTTATCTATCGTTTGTTATACATATACATACATATATATGTTTCCCTCTCCCTTCTTTCGAAAAATCTTCTACGACGTATAATACAATACAATGACCTTGACAAACGAACCAAGTTAATGGAGAAAAGAACATATTTATTATTTTCCACTAAAAATATGTACACTCGATCGTCATTCACCGATCTAATAACAACGTTCTTTTACGTCCATTATCGTAATTTCTACATTAATTATAGAATTGAATATTCGTAAAGATACGCGTATGCATATACATACATGTCACACGTTCACTCGCAATAGAAAATTTTTCTTCTAATAAAATTTATAATGAATAAATTTATTATCTGTCGTTAAAATTTAATCGATTGAATTTTTCTCTTTTCTACGAGACAATTTGAAAAAAATAAAGAAGAATATCTCCGTACCTTTCGTAACTACCTAACGAAATATTCAAATATCTTTCTCACACTTTTCCATTTTTTTTTCTTTTTTCTCTGGAAATATTAGATATCGATCGATGATTTATATATATTCTATCAGATTCCCTCGGATCATTAGAATTTTTCTTTACTTTTCTTTTTAATCGGCGTATTATTATAATTTGAGGATTAGAATGGATTAGAATAAAACGTTAACTTACATTTTTACAGCATAATTGATCTCACGACCTGCAGCGTTCACTTTCACGAAGAACAATGACCGTTAAATAAGTAACGACGATCGTGATTGGTCAAATTTTGGGTGGTCCGATAGCTAACCAATCGTATGCTAGTTTTTTGTTTAACGGAAAAATTTACATAAAATTGTGAAATAATCGATTAATTAATTAAATCAATCGTATTAATATTATTTCTAATATCGAAATATACGATAATTATCAAACCAAGTTTATTGTTACGTATATCCTAAGTAAAGATATCTTCAATTAATTAACCATTAATTAATTACAAAATAACGATGAAAAAAGGATCGAAATAATTAAAATTAAATCGATATAATTAATAAATAATAATGATTAATGAAAATAAGAACAAATGGAACAGATAGATTTTCTTTTCTAATGAAGAAAAAAAATCAATTTATTATATCACGTTAATTAATCGATATCGATAATTGACCAATCAGATACCCAGATTCGTTTCCGCGTTGTGATTGGTTAATTGGATCAAAGGACAAGGAAGTATTCTAAAACGTCTTCAAATTTGTTTCATACGCGTGTACTTTAGATTTTAACGAAAAAATTTGATATAGAAAAATTGTTATCGAATTAAAATTTTATATAAGATAGATACGCAGTACATGTACAAAGGTATATAGATATACACACACACATATATATATATATATATACGTACGTATATAACGTCGTAATATTTAATAGAATAATAGAACGGATGCATTCTATCATCTCTTAATGAGTAAGTCTCTTACTTGTATTAGCTTTTCCTGCTTGAAAGCTAACCTAATTAAAAATTGAAATATTCAATAATATATAATTAAAAATTATTAATAATATTCATCGATTATCTCATACATCGTATATTTTTTCTTTTTCTTTTTTTTCTCTCTTTCTTCTTCTTCTCAATCGTATTTATTATTTTGCTAAAAATTAATATAAACATTTCATATTTCGTCTATTTCATTGAGATTTTTACATTAAAGTATTTCGTAAACGAGATCGCATACATATAATATAAATCAATTTGTAGGAATAATCTACGATCGTTTCTTTTGAAATAAATGAAAAGGGGAGTCGAGTGAAGTCAAAGAAGGCGTTGCAACGAGTTCCGAATCTCGAAAACTTGCAGAAGCACGCGCGCGTCCTCAAGGAGAGTAAAAGAGGCCAGTGAAAAGAGATAAAAAGAAAGGACGAGTTCTATCCCTCTCTCTTTCTGTCTCTCTTTCTCTCCGTCTCCCTCCATCTCTGTCTCTCTTTTATATACCCCCCGCAGTCGAAGATCTTCCAAATACGTAGGTCATCTCTTTCTTGTTGCGTGCAAGAAGAAGTGGAAGGAGAAGGTGGAGAAGAAGAAAGAGAAGAAGTGACGAGAGAATACGGTATATCTCAGTGAGTATATAGATAAGAAAAAGAGAATAGTAGAAAGAGAAAGAGTGAGAGAGAGAGAGAGAGAAAGAGAGAGTATGATAGTAAAGAAGAAGAAGAAGAAGAAGAAGAAGAAGAATAGGTAAGATTCAGTCCTTAGAACGAAGAGAGAAGCTGTGAGCGATCGGCACGTTCGTTCGTGTTCGTTGCGAAGAGTAAAGAAGGTATGTATATATATATATGTATATATGGGTAGAGAGGGTAATGGTGATCGGGGGTGAAGGGTGAAAGGGAGGTTCGATAACTGTACATACACGCATACATAAAGAGTAGGACAGATATATATGAATGTGTATACACGTGTATAATATCGCGCAAGTTCGCGTTTCAAAGATTGCTCGTCGTCGCGCTCACGTCGAGTGGACTATAGCGCGCGAGACTTTCGAACGACGGTTATTTCGCGTCTCCTTTCGTCGTTTCTCTCGATGGATAACTTCGCTGTTAGAGAGTATTGCGGGGAGTAATAGAGAAAGAGAGAGAGAGAGAGAGAGAGTGTGAGTGAGTGAGTCACAGAGAGAAAGAGAGAGAGAGAGAGAGAGAAAGAAAGAAAGAAAGTGGTGGTAACATAGTGGGGAAGGCTGGTCTATAGTGGGGGACGGTACGTTGACGAGAACGGCCGAGGTAACGACGGAAATGACCGAGGTCGTTCCAACGAAGGCCTCGCACGGTCGCAGCAAGAGGCACCACAGTTAGTCGCTAGAGGGCGCTTCACACGCGTTGGACGCGTCTTCGCGCAACTCCGTTATAATACTTTTTTTTTTGCAAGGGCATTAGACGACGACGAATCATCATCAATCGTGTACCGCTTGTATACCGCTAACTGCGTTCTCTCAATCTATCTTTCATTACGTTAGACAGAGAATAATAGACGTTTATAAAAGCAAGTTACTACGGGCTTACGAGACGTTACACGAAGTTTCTTTTTTTTTGCTCTTTCTATTCATTTATTCGTCGTCATTATCGTTATCATCTAACAGTTCTTCTTCTACTAGAAGAAAGAAAGAGAGAAAGAGAGAGAGAGAGAGAGAGAAAGAGAGAGAGTTCAAACATAACGGTTAATCGTGCCCGATCGTCGATCGTTGCTTTTTCTCGAAGCTTGGCGGGAGTTTAGATTTACGAGAGAAGTTATAAACACAACTACGAAGATAAAGTTATTCGTCAAAAGCTTACTACGGGCCGTGTGCAATATATATATATATATATCATACATACATATATATATATATATAAATCATTTTCCGAAGGCTTCTTTTATACGCATCGTTTTTCGAAAGGATCAACGATTATTTTTCTCCTTACATTTTTCTTTCGTTTCTCTCTTTTTCTTTCCTTTTTTTTTTCTTCTTCTTCTTTCTTTTTTTTTAAATTCTCTCGCGAGTGTACTCTTTTCGTCGCGTGTGTGCCAAAAGATATACGAAGAAGACAAAAAGCGCGCGACGAGCCAGTTCGAAATTCGCACGCGCGCTTCAACGCGTTCCAGCCTTTCGTCGTCATTCTCCTTCTCCTCTTCTTACTATCTTCTCCTCCCTCTCTCGTCGTCGTCGTCGTCGTCGTCGTCACCGTCACCGCCGTCGTCGTCGGCGTCGTCACCGTCGTCGCTCGCGAAGGCTCGCGCGCAAGTGCGTGCAACGTTGCCGGATCAAAGTTCTCGCGGGCGCCTTATGACCAAGAGAGAATTCTAACGTGAGAAGAAAATGTTACGAGGAAAGTGTGAGAGAGAGAAAGAGGGATAGGACGATTGTGTGTGTGTGTGTATATATATGTATATATATATGTATATACACACATATATATATATATACACGTATAGATATAATATCATCGAGGGGAAAAGTAATATACTCGAAGGAAGAATATAAAGAGAGAAGAAAAAAAAGCGAAAAAGACGAAAGACGAAAGAAAGAAAGAAAGAAAGTGAGTGAGTGAGTGAGAGATAGATAGTGAGAGAGAGAGAGAGGAAAAAAAACGAAAGAGAGAGAGAGAGAAAAGACGAAGGCTTCTCGTCGTCCTCGTTCGTGAACGTTGGAAGTTTGTTTTCAGCCTTTCCGTCGGTCTCTCGCGCTTGCCGCGTTGCCAGATTTCCAAGCGACGAACCGTGTCTCGTCGCGTACCGCCTCCCCCTCGCCGTTTTACTCCTCTTCATCCTCCTCCTCCTCTTCCTCCTCCTCCTCCTCCTCCTCCTCCTCCTCCTCCTCCTCCTCCTCCTCACATCATCATCATCATCATCATCATCAACAACCTCCTTCTTTCTTAAAAACTTGAGAAAACATTTTCGTGAGAACTTTACGTGCGTGTTGAAAAACAAGTATATATATATATATATATATATATATATGTATGTACTATTGGGATATACATTTAGTGAAAGGTATATATCGATGATATCGATTATCAAAGTCCAGCATTTTCTGGAAATTATTATTTGATTGTTTTTCGCGCGTGATTTTTGAGTGCCTGAAGAAAAAAGGAAAAAAGAGAGAAAAGACGAAGAAGACGAAGAAGAAGAAAAAAAGAAACAACGAAGAAGAGCTTCGCAAACGGCCGAGAGAGGAAGGAACGCGCGCGGCCATTATTCGAAATTCGGTTGGATCGCGCGTTCGTGCGACGTTGCCAGTGTGGTTTTTGTTAGAGAAGACCGGGCGGCGCGAGTATTTCAACGCGCTTTCGAGAGACACGACGATTCCAAGAAGGATAATCATCTATCTTTCTCTCTTCTGTTGGGCGGTGGTGCGAGCAAGTAGACGACGGTAATACGATTAGAAAAGAAGTGAAAAAAGAAGAAGAAGAAGAAGAAAAAGGAAAAGAAGAAAAAAGTGAGAGAGAGGGAGAGAGAGAGAGAGTACGGTTTCTTTATTTTTTCTTTTTTGTTTCCCTCCTTCTTTTTATGTGTCCGGGTGAAAAGAATTTCGATTACGTCGGTTCGACGCGGGCTTTCGAACGACGACGTTTTGGAAGTGTTAACAGTAATTTCGTGAGAACGAATAGAAAGGGACAGATTACCACGTGATTCAGAGAGGGAAAAGAATACATTCTACGAAGTATATATATATATATATATACAGAGCACTACGTACGCGATATTATATCGTGTCGTCGAGTAGAGAAAGAAAGAGAGAGAGAGAGAGAGAGCGACGTTGCCGCGCTCTAGAAAGAGCAACAACGAAATATGAGCGCACGAGTGTTGAATCCGGCTATGATGACGGAAATGAGTCGGAACATAGGGGGAGGGCGAACGGTGCCGAGCAGAGCAGCTCTTGCGCGCGTTAGAAGGGATCTCTTCGGTCCCGTCGACCATGCCGCGGCTCGTGCATTGGCCGAACGCGAGTTACGTGCACAATCGTTGCTCGACAACGAACGTTGGGGATTCGACTTTCACTTGGAAATACCGAAATCGAATTCCCGATACGAATGGGAGATTGTTACCGCCAATGACGTCGTACCGGAACCTTATGCCCTACGTGGTATGCCGTATTTGAGGAAACATGCGCCTTCTACACCAAGAAAAAAACGAGATGAGAATGTGCAACAACAACAGCGATCATTGATTATCGCTAGTACTGGTGCTACTAGTACTACTACTAGTACTACTACTATTACTACGACGTCTATTCCTCCCCAACGAACGTTGAATGGAACGACCAATGTGAAAGTAGCGGCGTTGGCAGCAACAACAGCAGGAGCAACAGCAGCTACTGCGGTCGTTGTCGTTGCTGATATTTCAACGACGACGACGACGACAGCGACAACGACGATGATAGCAACATTGCCAACGACAGCAACAACAGATCCTTCTTCTCCCACCTCTCTACCTGCTATCGTTGCCAATGGAAAATCAAAGAAAACGACAACGATTGTTACTACTCCACAACGTACCGAAGACAAATTGGTATCCGTTGTTCTTCCAACCGACGAACTTCTCGATGAGAATACCGATTCCGAAAGGACGCCACCTCAACGGGAACGATCAAGGATACCAGAGATTGGCGAAATTACGCCGAACGAGACCTCGTCCTACGATAATAATTCGTACGAGAGTCCTAGGAAAAAGAAGAAGTACTCGATCGAATCTAATAACACCAACAACACCAATAACACCACCCCTGTATTGCCGGCTAACACGAGGAAACAGTCGACGATTACCCGTAAGTTATCATAATTTTTCTTTTTTTTTTTTTTTTCCTTTCTCCCTTTTTTTTTTTTTTTTCTTTTATGCTTTTCTTTACACAGTTAAGCATAAGAGATCGTTCTGGTATTGAAATTTTTCTCTTTGTATATATTTTTTTTTCCCCTGATCACAATGGCATTCTCACGTATTAATCATATATCGTGATTAATATCGTATATTAATTAAAAAAATTCGCGTTAATAACGTGCTCATTATCCGGTCGATCGAAGTATATAAATATATCCTATGTGTGTATGTTTTGCTTGACGAATGAAAAGAAAAAAAAAAAAAAAAAAAAAAAAGTAAAAGGCGAATTATTTTCTACGTATATATATATATATATTGATCGGATCGATCGATCGATCGATCGATCGATCGATCGATTGGATCGCGTGTTCGTGTTTACGTTCTCACGCGAAAACAAGTCAGCCGTGAACGAAGAGAGGCAAAACAAAACAAAATGAAATATAACCACAAAAAAAAAAAAGAAATGAAAAAGAAAAGAAATCCGTCGTAGTTACATCTGTGATATAGGATAAACGAACTTTCTCTCTCTCTCTCTCTCTCTCTCTCTCTCTCTCTCTCTCTCTCTCTCTCTCTCTCTCTCTCTCTCTCTCTCTCTCTCTCTCTCTCTCTCTCTCTCTCTCTCTCTATTTATCTATCTATCTACTATCTATCGATTATCTATCTAGCTATCTTTCTCTTTCTCTCTTCGTATAATCGTTTATATATTTCTCGTACGAGTGAACAAACGAAACCTTAAGGCATCGTCTCCTGCTTTAATTTGTAAGAGAAAATGAGATTTGTTAGGGGGGAGAAAAAAAAGAAAAGAAAAAGAACGATATTTATATTATATATATAATATATTACCAAATATACTATAATTTATTCAATGAAAGAGCAAGAGAGAGAGAGGGAGAGAGAGAGAGAGAGAGAGAGAGAGAGAGAGAGAGAGAGAGAGAGAGAGAGAGAGAGAGAGAGAGAGAGAGAGAGAGAGAGAGAGAGAGAGAGAGAGAGAGAGAGAGAAAGGAAGAGGAGAAATCAGGAAACGAAATTTTAATCAATTAGGTTCGTTGCATCTCGTCTCTATCGAAACGACGACGAGTTATTCGTAAATTTGTGTATATCATGTATATGTATGTGTATTTATATATGTATATGTATGTCTATATAAGATAAGATGGAATCTGACAAAATACATTTGAATAAGTTTTACTGGTTTTATGATCGACAAGCATTAATTCCTTAACGATAATCGTTAAATAATATCGATTAAATAGCACGATTATAAATATCTTCGTTTGTATTCGAAAGAATAGAAATACTATTGAGGTTAGGATTTCGTGTAATGACAAGTAGGAAGGAAAAAAAGGTATATAGTAAAGAAATCCGAATTCGATATACATTTTGAATAAGTTTTATGATAGATTATGATTGATATTAATTCATTAACTATAATATATTAATAATATCGATTGAGATTGAAAGAATAGAAATATTTTTGAGGTTAGCTCGGATCCAAGCGTTAATGGAGAACTTTTATTTGAAAGAAATTAAATGTGTTCTAACCTATTATTTTCTTATCGTGTGAAATCACACGTCATTTGGAAATAACTAAATTGAAAGAACGAGTGAATGAGAGTGAGAGAGAAAGAGAGTGAATGAGTGAGTGAGTGAGTGAGTGAGATAGTTTTGAAATACGCGCTTATTTCTTTTTATGAAGTGTATGAGAGAAAAAGAGAGAGGGTAATGTCTTTAACTCGGATAGTAGCAATCGTGTGTGTTTCGCTTGGAGATCTTTCTTGATTATATAAATGCCGATTGCGTAACCTCGATCGGTGCTGGAATACGTTTGTTTTAAAAGCTTATTGCGTATAGAATAAAACGTGTATCATCTCCTTTATACTATGTAGACCCTTTTTATCTATTTGTCTATCCATCTATCTATCTATATGTATCTTTATATATTTGGAAAGAGTGAAAGAGAGGGGAGAAAGAGCGAGAGAGACTGACTTCGATTAAAGATCATGGAAATAAAGGAAAGAGAATATAAGAATACAAATGAAAGAAAGATAGAGAGAGAAAGAAAATAAGATAAAAACAGAGTCGGCGAACGGAGCTTCGATTTTCGCGCCTCTAATCTATTCGAAACGACGCGCGTATCTTTTATGATTAAAAGGAAGGTTCAAAGGCGAAATAGTTTTGTTTATGTCGTTGCACGTTTTACATAAATATATATATAATACACATAAATAAATATATATATATATATACATACGTATATACACCTTCATACATATAAATTTCGTAACTTTAGCATCGTTTAGATTTGTATAACTATAATTGTGCATGTATATAAATTTTTTTTACATTTGTCCTTTCTCTCTTAAGTAGTTTTATTATTATTATTATTATTATTATTATTATTTTTTTTTTTTTTTTTTTTTTTTATTTTCTTTTATATTTAATAATCGTTGAATTAAAATCGAAATTAACAGGGATTGATATAAGCCATTCGTAATGCGATATTATATTTTGTTTCAAATTTTGCGTTCCATTTTCTCCACCTCTTACTCTTCCTCCTCTTTCTCGATACACTTTTCCAATGGATCAGCCATTATTTTTTTTTTCTTTTTTTTTCTTTTTTTTCTTTTTTTTTTTTTGCTCGCGAGATAATAAAACATTGCAGCCTAGGTCAATCTAATCCAGCGGTCGGCAAGGTCGTCCCAATTTATGTAATTACGCAAGTCAACCGGTAATAATGAGAAATTGCAGTTGGGTTTCTTTCGTTGTTCTCTCTTTCGTTCACGCATATATTGCGAAAGATATATATGCGATTATATACAATATATAATATATAATATATATATATATATATATAAATTATACGCATATTGTTTTGCGTTATGCATGTGTGTGTATGTGTATATGTATATATATACACATGTATGTTATATTCTACATGCAGTTTTTTATTTCATATAAATGTGGAAATCACATCGTGAGAGAGAGAGAGAGAGAGAATTTTGTAAAAGTTTTTCTTTTATTTATTTTTTTTTTTCTTTTTTCTTGTTATTCTTTTATCCTTATATTTTTCTTTTTATTTATTTATTTATTTATTTTTTATATCACGATTTAATCAGAAAAAGTTTAGATAAAAAAAGGAGGAGATACTTCTATTTCTCCGACGGAAAAGTTTTGTTGACGATTATGGCCGTGCCTATATCTGCATCCTGCTGTATTGGTTAATACGATAAAGTTAAAAATAGATATCGGTTAAATATTTATTTTTTATTTTTTTTTGGTGGAGGGGAGGTTTTCTTTCTTTTTTTTTTTTCTTTCCTTTTTTTCTTTTTTGCTTCCTTTCTTTTCGCGGATAAGCAGCGAGCATCATTGTCTAAGACAAAAAAAAAAGGCAGAGAGAGAGAGAGAGAGAGAGAGAGAAAGAATAAAAATAAATTCATAAAAAATATTTGACCGTCAAATTCGTAAAAAATATCGCGCCATTTTGTTTTGTATCATTGTATAAGCAGATAATTAGTTTATTATAATTTCTTTCTCTTCGTCCTTTTTTTTTCTTTTTTTTTTTTTTTTCTTATTTCTTCTTCTGTTATAATTAAATTCTCGAAGGAATTCAATATAAAAAAAATAAATTCTAATCTAATCAAGATCTATTTATCGATCTATCTCGATCTATCTAATCGTAGCAGCAATGAAATACTTTGGTGACAGAACAACGACTTTGATACGGAATAGAAAAATCCTTTTTCTTTTTATTTTTTTGAATTTCCCGCGTTATCTCGACGTTATTATTTTCGTGATCATCGACGATAATAATGATAACGCATTGCAACTAACGTTATCGAGTTTGTTAGAATACATTTTCTTTTTCTTATATTTTTTTTTTTTTTTTTTTTTTTTTTTTTTAAATGAGAGAGAAATAAAGAAAAAGAGTAACAACAACGTTGGCCTTTCGTCGCACGTGCAAAATAACGCACGTGGTTTCAAGGCTAATATTGCCGGTCTGGTGACGCATTTATCTGTAAGAGAATTAGTCACTAAATCTAGTTTTTTTTTTTCCTTGTATAGAGTTTATTGGTTACATTCATCATAGCTTTTTCTTTTATATGCATGCATAATTTTGTATCTGTTGATTTTTGATTAATGAAAGTCAGAACGATAATATAATATTCCTTTAATTAATTAATACTATTAAATGAAGAATTATTTGTTTCTTTTCAATTTGTATTTATTAAAAAAGATAAAGAAAATAAAAAATAAAAAAAAAATAATAAAAAAAAAAAGAAACAATTTTCTATTTTAAGAATCTTTAATCTTATTAAAAAGTTAAAATGTTTCGATGTCGTATCTTTGTAGATTTGATTTGTTTTGGAAAATGGAAAATTTAATGAGAATCTAATATTATTTATCATTGTTTAGGATTACGGCCATTTTGTCTCTTTTTGACTCGTATAATACCTCACGGTCTAATTCTCTCCGGTTTTCTTCTATTTATTATTCGATCGTACAAACCACCCACGCGACGTGACTATTTCTGGATGTGACTCCGTCGTCATCTCCGTTGTCGTTGTCGTCGTCGTTGTTGTTGTCGTCGTTGTCGTTGTTGTTGTCGTCGTTGTCGTTGTCGTTGTCGTTGTCGTTGTCGTTGTCGTTGTCGTCGTCGTTGTCGTCGTCGTTGTAGTCGTTTCTTTGTCGCGAGTGGTCCAGCGTACGCGATGACAACGAGTCTCTTCTCTCCACTGTGTTTATATTTTTGCGTTGCACCGCGGGATGCCGACGCCATTTTTGTTCGCGCGCCAACGATATGCAACGAACTTCATACATACGAATTGTGTCATCATCGTACGTAGTTAAAAAAAATTTTTTTTTTTTTTTTTTTTTTTCCGTACGTAGTTCCTAACAATTTATATGTAAAAATGTGTAATTAAATCGGTACGTGTGGTTTTTTTTTTATGC